CTGCGAAGTGGCTATCAAGAAGCTAAACATGGGAAAAAACTCGTTTCCCTGAACTTAAAAAAGCTCCGATTCGACGACGTTGGGTAGCGCGAGCACAGAAAGGCTGCTAAAATCCCAAGGTCATTCTAAGTTGCCTAAATCGCAAAGCACCAAGGTGACAGTCTTCACCTACAATGCACGCACACTTGCATCTAAGCCCTCGATAGAAGACTTGATCATGCAAGCGAGAAGAATAAGGTGCGACGCCATTGGGCTGGCTGAGGTTAGAAAATTCCACCCACTCAACGCTATCTATGACACTAGGCAAGAACTGTTCCTCAGAAAATGCATCAACAAAGGAGTAGGCGGAGTTTCGTCAAAAAGATTTATTCGTTCGAAGCGAACTAACAACGAGAGTCTGACGCAACTTTGTGAGTCTACATCCACTTTGCCAGTCTAAGTTATTTAAGCGCGGGCATCAAGCTATGACGAAGACAAGTCGAAGCATTCTATGTGGACTTGGGAAGCTCTACAAAAGACACCGTACATCCTTCAAGGTCAGTTCATTGGAGGTTATAACAAGATTGTTCTAGTTGAAACCTTCTTAATGAGTAGACTGGAACCAGAAAATGTTTGAAAGACGTCATCTTGGGAGCCACGGATTCAAATGAAGCAAGCAGGTAAGCGGCTATGTGAGCTGATTATGCCGGCCATGGCCAATCTTGATAACTCCCGTTTCCGGGACCCCCACCCTCAACGATGAACGTGGTAGTCTTCTAATGGAGAGTACCATAGGCCACATCACTTTTGCCTAACCGATGCCGTGTTGTCCCAAACTTCTACGTGGGATCAAACCATAGCCTCCTTCGTGTAAGAACAGAATAGAAAGCCGCTAGGTTCAAAAAACGAAATCCGAAATCCACCTTAGGCTGGTATTTATTAAAATTATTAGCGTGTTCTTAATAGGATGCTATTATTGATAGCATCAACTCAAGATACGACAGTCTTCTTCGATGTTTTCACTTCAGCGCCATGAAAGCTGGGAGTTCGAAAACCGCCAAGGGACTTCTATTTCCGTAAACGCTCGGGCTGATGCACTGATGTAGAATGGTGCAAACCACAGGCAACCGCCAACTCACGACAGAACTAGCATAGATTTGCAAACAGGCAATAAAGGAGGATCTTAAAAAGTGAAGAGCAGCAGTTATGGTCTGAGCTACAAAGGCTTGGAAAATCATTCGCAAAGCCCACCGATGCTTCACCAATTACAAAACTAAAATGATTGCCACGAGCGACTTTCTGTTAACCTCGGCATTAATTGATAATTCAATGTTTTTCTTCAATAGGCAGACACGAGGTTGTTAATATGAAATTTATTAGAATACAATAGCTGACGTTTCGGCGGTTTCGCCTTCTTCAGAGGCTTTTATTTGTTGTAAGTATTTAAATTAGTTGATGGATAGCAGCCGCACAGAAAAATACATAGGCGCGGCTGCTATCCATCAACTAACTTAAATACTTACAACAAATGAACGGCTCTAAAGAAGGCAAAACTACCGAAACGTCATCTATCGTATCCTAATAAAATGATTGCATTCCGACGCACAGCCAGGACAATTACAGCTCCCAGGAACTCATTAGAGAAAGCCACTCACGATTTCTACTCGGATCTCCTCAATAGCCACGTCACCCTGTCCTTTTACGAAATAAAGAAGGAAGGATATGTCGTACCATCTGTTTCCCCTCTATTGTCCGACATACTCTTTGGTCGGTGAATGAATGAATGAGTGAATCGAACGACACCCAAGGAAAGCAGAGGATAAGATCTGCGCATCTGAAGAACCTTTCGCCCGTCCTTATGAACACACTAGCTAGGTTCTTCACACTCTACCTGTTTGAATGCAAGGTCCCCATTCAGTGGGGGACCGGCAAGACTGCGCTTTTGTTTAAAAAGGGGAACCTCCACGACATCGGCAAATATCGCACAACCTACTTGCTTTCTGTCGCCTATAAGCTTTCCACTCGAGTCATCCTAAACAGAACTGACGAACGCTGGGTGAAGAATAACCATGTAAGCAATAAGGCTTCAAAAAGGATTTAGTACGTTGGACCAAGAAACCCCTCGTCTCTAGTGGGATAGAAGCAATCGTGAAAGCTCTGGACAGTCACGAAGTCGCTACCCAGTATATCAATATCTTTCATAGGCCATATAAAAAATTCTCAACCAGGATATTACCAACCACATTAACACCGATGTAAAAAGAGGGCTAGGCAAGGCGATATCGTCTCGCTGAAATTATTTACTGCCGGCCTCAAGAACGTTATAAGAACATTAGAATGAAATAACGAGGAAGTGAAAATCGATGGTCGGTATTACACCGTCTGCTTTTTGCTGAAGACATCGTTCTTATAAAGTCAAACATTAGCTAAGCGAAACAAATGAATGCTTGCCGATTTTGATAAAGCCTGGGAAAGCACTGGTGTTCGACTAAATCTCACAAAAACGATATCGATGACTCACGGCTTGGTTATGTAAGCCCCATTCACGCTCAACGGGATGAATAGCTCAGACCGCTCCAGTTATGTCTATCTAGGACGCGATTTCAGCATGATGAACAATCAAACTTCAGAGTCGTGCAGGAAGAAGCGAGCGGCTTCGAGAGTCTTTAAGAACATCGAATATTTAGTGAAGAGTGCAACGAACACCCAACTCCATGCCCACCTATTCGACTCCACGATTCTTCCTGCTTTAACGTATGCGTCAGAAACCTGGTCGCTGCGTAAGCAGGATGAAAAGTCACTCAGCGTTATCGAACGCGCAGTTTAAAGGACGATGCTAGGAGTATCCTGTTCCACACAAGTAAGGGATGAGATCCGAAGCCCCGATCTGCATCAACGGTCAAAGGTCAAAGATGCAGTTCTGTATGCCAAACAGTCGAGGATAAGGCGGGCCGGACAGGTAATACGTATGAACGACAGCCGATGGACAAGGGGCGCTTGTGACTGGATTAATAGGGCTCTCAAAGAGACCGTAAGAAGTCCAACGACCCGATGGTTAGAGTTCTTCACCAAAGTCTTAGAAAAGTATGATTCTCAACGAGTTTCTAGAGCGAGCAGAATCCACTGGGCTAGCTTTGCACGCGACAGGGACATGGTAGATTCACTGGGGCCCGCTCGAGCCACTCGGCGCTCAACGGGACCACAGGAGATGCAAGTGGTTGTTCAGAGGAGAAATATACAATAGAATCCACACTAAATGTTGCTTTCACTTATAATTAATATTGTGGGCCGCATTCAGCAAACGATTATCTATCGACGTTGGTGAACTGTATAACCACGTTCAATGGTAAACCGGACCATTGTTACGTTGTTCATATGACGTTGCAGATTATGGGTTGGGTGAAAACGCATGAATGAATGAGTTAATCGATGCATGAGTGAATTAATGACAGAGTTAGCGTAATGAATTTTAAGAGCTCACCGGATGCTTCGTGCGTCTGTTTCTTTTCGTACCACGTCTGTCTGAATTCCATGGAACACTGGGTGTGATGTGCTGCGACGGTTGTGTTACATGATAATGTCCACAGCTGGTTTCCAATCTGGAAAATCGATTGCTATAATAAAATCAATAATGATCATCGGGCCAGAGATTAGATTAGCAGCTCACGGTGTGACAAGAAGTTATCAACTACCCGTACAAATATTTTCGCAATGGTCGAAACGAAATGACATTTCGACTAGTCAGTTCTCATTTTGAGAGTAAAGAAGAATATCCAACAGTAGTAACAAGTTGACTTTATAATCGAATGCTTTACTTCCTTTTTTAGAATTTTCGTTTCTTTCACAGCCAATAGCTCATGAGTACAGAGAAATCATTTTGCTTCGAAGAAATATTTTAAAAGTTCGAGAAACAAGCGAAATAGCCTCATAGGGACTCTTCATTTCATTGCGTTGAAGTCGTATTTCTAGTTCTCCAAGATGTTCCAGAAGGTGTCTGACCACAGCACACAGTAGTCTAATCAAAGGCGAACTTGTGTTCAGGATCGCTACCATGCCGAAAAAAGGGCTCCCTCTTATTAAATCTCAAAGTTTGGCAACCTCAAATAATGACCGTCAATATCTGACACTTCGACAGTGTGATTTTCAGAATGAAAAAAGTGGATTAAGGAGAGAAATATAGTCGAATGAAAACTCTCCTTTACTTTGAGCAACTTGTGAAAAGTTTCAAATATAATTTCAATGATGCTGAGATATTTCCAAAACTCCGGACCGCAGGTGGATGCGGTGGAGAATGAGCGCGTTATTGTCCTTTCCGGAGAGTAACGCGTTCACCACCACACCATGCAGGTCCTTCGTTTCGCTTGTCTCTCAGCTAGTTCTAACGATCTTTGCCACGCCAATCGCCCGTCAACGGGATTGATCTGGGGACCCAAAATTTTAAATATGTTTACATACAATTATTTCCACATCTTCTCGAAGGAGTGCTGAATTAAAGTTATGTCTTATAGCTCTCTGAATAATGTGTGAGAGTAGCCGAGATATCACAAGATGAATCTGCAACCTTTTAAACTCTATTTACTTCCTGTTCTTTTTTGTAGACACTACAGACGTTCGAGGGCGTGTGTGGCGCAGAGGTTAGAGGCGCCACTGTGAGACACACGTGGAATCGATTCCCGCGTTTATGGCACACGAGGCCTTCCATCCCTCTAGGGTCGGTAAATTGGTACCAGACTTGTTTGGGAGGGCAACGGCACTGGCTTGATATCGGTCAACCACCAAAGTCATAGTAAAGATCAGATATGCACTCAATCACCGTCAACGATGCTTAACGAAGTCGAATGTATGGCGCATTCCTTAGGGATTAATCAACGCCGAGAACTTTATCCTTTTATATGTGTTTGAAAATTTCAAAAGCCTCGCTAAGTGCTGTACAAAAAATAAAATCTGTAAGTAGCAGTATTTAGAAGCAAGAAGAGTTAGCTCTTATTTCTACCCACTATTTCAAAAATGTTTTACAAATTTCATCGAAAAAAGTGAACCACTACGTGCTTTATTGGTTGCATGTGCTGCTGAACGTATGGATTCCATGGAGATGGTAGTGATTGAGTGTAGCTGTTGTCGACGACGGTCATATGGTTCACTTCGAACTCGACGTCGATCGAATCCGGCATCAACTTTGTCGCCGATGCCTGGTGATGCCGTTCCAAATGTTTGCTCATGTTCGTAGCACATGCTGATTTCACAAGCTGAACAGCGCCTCTTTAAGTATTTCAAAGAAACAGGCAATTTAGGAAAATATTCTATCGTTACTCTTTCGATAGACCATAAATGAATGGACGCAACAGAAAGGATTGTCGGAGCAAAAAGCATGTGACATTCTTCCAGAGCCCATAAGTCTTGTTTTTTTTGCACATCATTTTTTTGTCATTCACGCTCTACTCCTATCACTGTCTCCCTCTTATGTATTTTTCTCTACCTTTTTCTCTTCTTCTTGTGATAGCCAGAAGTATTTCATTGAAGTTTTGGAAGCCAATGTTTAACGCTACTTACCCGAGCACACATATTGCATTGCACACTTCTATCGTCGATTCGACGAAAAAATGTCCATACAGGATTTTTCGTCGGTCGTCCACGTTTCGTACTACACTTACGGATTTTTTGAGAAGTGAGTCCATCTTTCTCGTGAACCTGGATACTTTGCAAGAAGTTATCTTAGATCTAAATAATGTTATAAAGCTCCTGCGTGGAATATGATCACTTCAAAATAGAGAAGAAAACTGCTTCAGTGGCTTCCCTATTATCAGTATTCAGTATATCGATGAGGAGATAAAGCAACTGATCCCAGACCTTCAATTGAACAGGTAACACGGCCCGAGTAATTCTATAAATTACGGTTACAGTATTGAAGTGCCACGAGAATACGAGTGACAGCTCTGTCTCATCCTCATCGTCTTAAAAAAGACTTCTGTCTCAGTTTACACGGAAGTAATCACGGGAATTCTGGAAAATCAGGGTGTCGTATACAAAAATTCTTCTTCAGCTGAATGCGAATTTTACAACCAAGACATCACCTTTATTTATTCATATTGACATCGACCTAATGAAAGGGCTTCGTCAAAAAGATCTTGCCAGAATTATAAACAGCCACTCGTAAGAACTTTCTGCCAAAATTGATGTGGAGCAGCACACAAGTGAAAGTAAACGGTAGGCTATTACGCCATTTACCCGTTCTTATCATCGTTTTCTTGAATAATTTATTCTGAAGTATGGATGTTACACACAACGCTTAGCCGGAACGCGAAGTTTAGATGTTCGATGCCTATCCCGTCTTCGAGACCTGGGGAACCACACATCGATGGGTACGCATGTACGGGTGTGTCATATGTAACAAGGAGAACAGCCAGCAGATGGACAGAAATAAATTTGGAGTGGACTCCACATGGTCGTAAGCGTTTCTTAGGACGACTACCTACACATTGGACAGACGTGTTCATAACTAAAGTCAACCTAGCTGTACTCGTAGCTGCTGTTGTTTTACGGATAATGATATGAGACTCGCACCCGCTACCATGGTCAAATAAAACCACTACCACAAATGACGACTGCGAGGTAAAGAAACGAATAGGAAATGTGTTGGGGTCAGCAAAACTGGCGTAGACGGACCGTTCAGGTACCCAGGTAGGTCTTCCTCATCTCATTAAACATGAGTTAAGCAAAACGAATGATAGCTTAGTTCGACAACGCTTCTAAAAATTTGATTATCGAATAACTTCTACCAAAAGGATTTCAACGAATAACAGATTTATTTTCGTTGTCTCATTCACGTTCGATCTAACAAACACCTCTGAATGATCCAGCTATGTCTATATGGGTCGAGAAGTCGATCAACACGGTGAACGAATTCGCAGAAAGAAGGAAGTGATCGAATTAAGAAGCTTTCAAGAGCATCGATGGTGTAGTGAAGAGGACTAAGACCACGCCGACCTTCCAGCTCTACGACTTTTTGTGCTTTAAAGTGTACGCAAAGAAAGCACAGTTGAGAGGGCAATGTTGGTATACCCTGATTCACACGAGTGAGAAGCGTAGGCCGAAGTTTTGGGCTACGTCAATGGTCAGAAATCATAGACGTTCTCCAAAATGTCAAAAACCAGATGAGGTAGTCATATGATGCTTCTGAACCAAAACCAATGGACAAAATCCGTTGGCGTGTGGGACCTTAGTGAATGGAAAAAGCGATTTTTTTCACTGTTGCCAAGAAGTGCGCTTCCAGTGCAGAAGCCATAGGAAGAGAAACGGGCTTTGTAGATCAGCGTGAAGAAGCTCGGCAGACAACCATCTACTCGTGGTTATATGCTCTTCTACACGTTATACTGCTATGAACAGCTCAATTCATATCCCAGCAGGTCCACCTAACCAGAGAATCATTTAGATAATTCCATCTGTAATTCAGTGAAATAATACAAGGATCACCGGTGCCTTTCAACATACTCACAAGGTGGCATACTTTTCTCTACTTCACAAAGTTTGGCGATTTCCTCTTTTAGTAACGTAAAATCACCGTTACGAGAGTTTCTCCTAAGCTAAAAAAAAATTGGAACAACATACCAATAGGAAGGATATTTTACTAAGATTTTATGAAGGTTATTTATAAGGTCGGTTTTGTTTAAGTAGAAAATAATCAGCTCGAGATAGATAACGCAAACAGAAGCCATACGTAGGAGCAGGTTAGTGTGTCTTGAAGAGGGAGCACTGCGCAGTTTCATACGTATAATCCAATTTAGTAGCAAATTATATCATTTGCAGCGTATTTTATTTTTCTATTCCTTCTAAGTGACACAGAGATGTTCTTTAACTAAAAAACATAAGTGAAATCACTACCGCAACCGCGTTGGGAACACTAAACTGTGGTGGGTCGTCCTGAGAAACCAACGACGTTCCAGCAGATGTAGCTGTTGCAGCGTAATAGAACATCGATGGTTGTCGTGTAAATGACTGATCATAATGATTGTTTTCCTAAAATTGCAGATTTTCATATCAAAAACGAAACAATTTTTGTAAGCTTTTGCCTTTAGGACGCTATTTTTGTAAAGGCCGACATGCATGCACTGTACATAAATCAACCATAATGGTGCTGAGATGTGATCGAAACTCGGAGGCACCTGAGCTTCGAACCTGTAATCACAAGTGGAAACGTATTCTAACCTCACGGGGATTCTGAGGTTTTCTCATATCTTAGCACCATTTTGGTTGCATTGCACATAATAGCATGCTGTAAAAAAGGAATGGGCGGTAAATAAAAGTTAAACATCATGATTTCGACAACAGCTTTGAGCTTAATTAGGTTCAATGCCGAGATCGTTCCCATTGATGGGTAATTCCAGCTAGCACTGTTAGGGTTAAAAACTGCCTGGGGAAAGGTAACGTAAAGAATTCGGTGGTAGAGTGCTTAAACATGGCCCCCGAAAAGGGTAGTCGCAGGTTCGAAACTCACCAGGGTTCCGAATTTTGCTCACATCACAGCATCATTGTGCTTTCACTTTCCATAATACACAGCTACGAAAAAAAGTAGTAGACAATAAATAGAAGTCAATCATTACACCGAAATATTTCGTCATCATTTGTCGTTATTGTACACTGTCGTTGTTGACGCCCCCCTGAATGCCGCCTTGGTTAGGAATGCCATGGGCACGTAATTGGTCGTTGCCTCGGTCTAGCACCTCGGACCAACTACGATCCTTCCTAGACCGGCAAATTGGTTCCAGACTTGTGTGGAAGAATACTAACAGTGACACAATGGTAAGCCAGCACAAATCACTCCATAGGGCAGTTATGGGTTGAAGCTCTTCTATGATGCTTCCAATGCCGTTAAAAGCATGGTGATTACCAAACGTTCTAGGCCACTCTATCATCCATAATGTTTTAATTTGTTTAGATACGCTTAATTTTATTTTCAAAGAGTTCACAGTAGTAGCTTTCATTTTTGGTTGTTTTAATAAAAACAGTAAAATTTTATGAAAGGTCGATAAGTAGATGAGCTTTATTAAGATACGTACCAGAGGGATTCTTACCACGGATCTTCCTCATATGAGGGATCTCGAGCCCGTTAGGCGCGAGGCTACGTGGAGCACCCCCAGGTAGAGGATAGAGGGTTAATCGCAGACCAAAGGCGACTTTTGCTTCTCTGAGACGCAGGTGGATCCAGAGATGGACTCCCAGTTTTTCCTGCGCCAATTTGGCGCTTCCTTTCTGCAATTGCTACGCGTATTCATGCATGTGTGTGTAGGTGCGTTCAGGTTAATCCGGATTGTATTCTACGAGTCGATTCGGCCAAAAATCCTGCAAACAGGTGACTGGGAAGTATATGGGAGGCGGTTAGGAGTCGCCTCCAATAAATGAGCTCCATGTCCACTCTGGAAGAGCCTGGTAAGCTGCCCGTGAGTATACCCAGTCCCCACGTTCAGAGCAAAACAAGCTATATGTGGGTATCAAAAAAGCTAAACGCAGTAAAAAAAAAACGGACCTCATTCCCTTGACCCCGAAAGAGCTCCCAATTTCGTAGCGTAGGGTAGGACGAGTACGGAGAAGCTGCTGAAATCTCAGGGCCAATGGAAGCCGCCTAGATTTCAAAGAACTATGGTGACGATCTGTACCTACAATGCACGTACACTTGCATCCGAGTCCTCGATAGAAGACTTGCTCATGCAAGCAATAAGGATAAGGTACGACGTTATCGGCGTGGCCGAGATGAGAAGACGCCAGTTTTTCAACGCCGTCTATGACACTGCAGAAGAACTGTTCCTCAGAACATGCAATGGTAGAGGAGTCGGCGGCGTCGGCGCTCTCGTCAACACGAGTTTATTAATGAACTTCGATTCATTCGAATTACTTCCAACCCGAATCGGACCTTTACGATTAAAAAAATGTAGATCAATTTTGGCTTTGATAATTTTCGCCTCTTACGCGCCGACATCAAACTATAACAAAGAAGAAGTCGAAGTGTTCTATGTGGACTTGGAGAAGTTCTACAGAGAAGACCACACATTCTTTAAGGTCATCGTTGGGAATTTCAACGCCAAGACTGGACGAAGAAGGACGTCTGAAGAACGTCACATTGGGATACACGGATTAGAATGGCACGAATAGGGTGAGCGGCTATCTGAGTTTATCATGGCGACCAAGACAATCCGTGGTAAATCGCAATTCCAGAAGCCCCACCCTCATCGCTGGACGTGGGAGTCTTCCAATGAAGAGTGCCATAACGAAATAGACCATATCTTAGTAAATAGGTTTTGCCTAACTGATGTCGCTGTTGTCTCTAAACTCTACACGGGATCAGACCATCGTCTCCTTCGAGAAGGTTCTATTTCTCGCCGACAGTAGAAAAAGCAGCAAAATTCCAAAGCCGAAGTCCGAGAACCACCACAAACTGAGACTTGTTCAATTCATTAGTCAGCTGTTGGGAAGATGCCGTTGCCGATAACATCGACGAAGAATACTATCGGCTCGTTCAACATCTTCATGCTGGCGCTATGAAGGCTCAGAGTTCGAAAATCACCAAGAGACGTCTGTCTCCAGAAACACTCGAGCTAATGCCCCGGCCTGAAATCGCACGAGCTGCAGACAAAAGTGTGACCAGCGTCCCAACTTGCAAGAGAACGCAGAGAGGCGATAAAAGAAGACCTTAAAGAGAGAAGAGCAGCAGTAACGGTCGAAGCAGCAGAGGCTGGGAAAAGCATTCGCAAAGCCCACCGAAGCTTCGCCAATTGCAAGACCAAAATGATTGCTCTCCGGCGCCCAGACGGAACAATTACAGCGTCCAGAGAGGCAGTGGAGAAAATCATTCACGAATACTACTCAGATCTCTTCGATAGCCACATTCACCTTTCGTCATATGAAATAAAGTAGGATGTATATGTTGTGCCACCGGTTCCCCTTTCGAAATCCGACATGCTATTTCCTCAGTGAAAAAAAGAGCGGCACCAGATCCGGGCAGGATAAGACCAGAAACAGAACACCTGAAGAACCTTCCTCCAGTCCTCATAAACACACTGGCTCGGCCCTTCACACTTACCTGTCTGATTGCAAGGTCCCAACTCAGAGGAAGAGGTGTAAAACCGTGTTATTGTTCAAGAAGGTTGACCTGTACGATATCGGCAACTATCGCCAAATCTGCTTACTCTTTGTCGTCTAGAAACTTTTCGCTAAACAGGATTGACAGAACACTAGGCGAAGGAAAGACATGTGAGCAAGCAGGGTTTCGAAAAGGATTTATTACGATGGACCACATGCACACGGTAACACGGCTCATTGAAGCATCGCGAGAGTGCAAAAGACCACTCTGTCGCACTTTCATCGATTTACAGAAGGCCTTTGATTCAGCTGAGATAGAAGCAGTCTTGGAAGCCCTTGATAGTCAAGGAGCCCCTGCTCGGTGCATAAAGATTCTTCGTGAGCTGTACAAAAATTTCTCAACCAAGATATCGCCATTCTATTACGATATTAACATTGACGTCAAAAGAAGGGTTAGACAAGGCTATACCATCTTGCCAAACTATTTATCGTCACCCTCCAGAACGTCATGAGAACATTGGAATGGGATAATATGGGAGTGAATAACGATAATCGGCAATTACACCTTCTTCGCTTTGCTGATGACATCGTCCTTATAACACCAAACATTAGCCAAGCGGAACGTATGCTTGACGACTTCGATAAAGCCTGTGGAAAGATTAGTCTTCGACTAAATCTCACACAAAGTATGTGAAGAACGGATTGGTTTCGCATTTCCCATTCACGCTCAAAGGAACGAATATCTCCAAATGCTCCACTTATATCTATTTAGGTCGAAAAATCAATATGATGAACGGCCTAGCTCCAGAGCTAAGCAGAAGAAAACGAGCGGCTTGGGAAGCTTTCAAGAGCATCGAGAATGTAGTGAGAGAACAAAGAACACCCGACTCCGTGTCTACGTTTTCGACTCAGCGGTACCTCCTTCCTAAGCGTACGCGTCAGAAACGTGGTCGCTTCGTAAGCAGGATGAGTGATCACTCAGCGCTATTGAAGGCGCAATCGCAAGGACGATGCCAGAAGTATCCCGTTCCACACAAGTAAGGGAGAGGATCCAAAGCCCCGATCTGCGTCAAGGATCAAAAATCAAAGATGCCGTTCTGTGCACAAAACAGTGGAAGATAATTTGGGCCAGAAACATAATTCGTATGAATGACAATCGATGGACAAAAGCCGTCAGTGACTGTATTCCTCGGGATGTCAAACGTACTGCAGGAGGACTACCGAACCGATGGTCTAAGTTCTTCACAAAGAGCGTTGAAGAAAGATATGATGCTCGACGAGTCTCTAGAGCGAGCAGACCCCATTGGGCTACTCTTGCACTCGACAGGGAAAAATGGAAGATTTACTGGCGTCCGCTCGAGTCACTCGACGGTCAACGGGACTACAGGTGATACAGGTGGTACCAGAGGGATTAAATTTTTAAATTTCTACTTTTTAGGCAGCCTGGAACAAGAAAAATCTTTTTTGCTGGTATATTTGGATATCCTGGTTCGATTTTGCTTCACTTGCTGTTTTTTATGAGCATTTTCAAAAGTTATGGGAAATTTGCTGATGTGAGGATGGTCTTCTTTACCGATTCATCTAAGTAACATCAAACAAACACCGGTATTGTTGTAATGCATATTGGTTGCAGACTTCATAATAAAATCATTGGCAACCAATCGATAAGCTGCTTGAGTTAATCAATACACAGACGACAAGTCGAGTCGAAATTGCTTGACGAAACGGTGTTGTACTCATTGAACGGGCACCTCTGTCTATGCGGCGATCATATCGGTCGGTTACGATCCAAAGGAGCAATTCGTAACGATGGCATGAACCTCTTGAAGAATGTAGTGAATAAATTTACATAGGACCTACACCTAATTTGGGAAAGTGTGATTGGGGTAGCTCGGATAAAA